GTAATGAAATGAAGTTTTGCTATTCCATACAGTCACATATTTGTTTTTACACTGTCTTGTTTCTAAACAGCTGAAACACTTCTTTTTTTTCCTTAAGTAGACATTTTAATTAGAAACTTGATATGGCATTGGTGGTAACAGGCTGGTTTCAAAAATGAAGCTTACAGTGAGTTAATACAGTAATGATTACTGCTACACACTGTTTTTCACTCAAGAATCTCCAGATACTTTGATCTCCAAGTAAGCACTTGGCCTCTCTCATCCCTTTGTGCCCGGCAGAAGAGCCATGATCCTGCTCAGGCTGTCACAACTCTGGGCTGGTTTGGGTCACAGCATCCTAGTGCACATGCACCACAGATGATGTGGAGCATCCCTCCAAAAACTGTGTGGCTCATTTTGGGCAGGAAAGAAGCTATGTGCTGGACTAGTCTGCAATTCGTTAATTTCTGGACTTTGATGAGGCTGACAGGACATGCTGAAAGGTCCCCTTGCTGAAATATGTTGGGACTTTTTCCAGCTCCCAAGGCATATGAGGCTAGGGAGGATGCAGACAGCTTAACTGGATGTTGAAAAAAGAAACCTACCAGATCAGTTATTCCTGTATGTATTTCTGTAGTGTTTACTGTAATGTTATTGCATATTTATACTGCCAAGTTACTTCTAAAAACAACAAAGTATTTTAAAACATGCTACACAAACCCCCATGCAGAAATGGAAACCATCTCCTGTAGTGTCCTACCTATTGTTGCAGAATAATTTTCCAACTCAGTTCCTGAAATGGTCAGTCCTGACAGAACTTCTGTAGCTTGGTCTGCATAAAAGGTTGCTCCTAGCACTAAGCAGCTAAAATGGTTCATGCAGTTATCACTGCTCTGACACAGCTCAACACTAAAAATTATGGATAGCAGTACTTATCTGTGAACAAGTTCTTTAATTCTTAGTCTTCTTTCAGTCTAATAAGGTATTTCTTAGCTGCTGTATTGTCAAAAGTACTGGTGAGTGCATTCATTCATAGTTCTATGAGAATTAATATGAAAGGGACAGTTAGAATTCAATTAGAAGGTCTGGGTCCATAGATTGATTAGATTAATCAACATAATCAACTTTCACTTAAACAGTGGTCTTAAATTATTTGCACTAGAATAGGGTTTATTTTATATTTAATTCAATCTCTTTGTAGAAATACAGGCTGTCTAAATGTTTCAGCAATGAACATTTTACCCAAATCACTAATACATCTAAATCAGCTTATCACATAGTATAAATGTTTGCCGTTTTACAAGCAAGACTGTGTACCATGTGCTGCCTTTCTCTTTTCTATAATTAGCAGAAACATTTGGGAATTGCAATAACACTTTCTCTGTATCTTTACAAGAAAGAAAATGACCTAAAAAGGGAAGAAAGGCAAGTCTAGGAAGGAGCACTGCTAATCTAAACATCACCCACAACTTGCAATCAGGGACACTCCCTCCCTTCTCCAACCAGATCTTTCTGTATTTGTGTTTTGTTTTTGTTATTCAAACCCTCTCTCTTCACTACAGATTTCCCTACTTGGAAATATTACCATCTGTGATCACTGCACAGCATTAGCAGATAAAGCTGTTCCAAGCTGCAAACTGGGCTGTGGGGTAAAAGTTTGGAATCAGTAAAGAGCACGTATACTGCAGACACAGGCTACCCCAGTGTGGAACTATTAAGTGTTCACATTGATCTCATAAGTCTGTGCTGTCTCTATACCTAGCAGACACTTTTAAAATAAGAAAATTGTGAAGAAAAAATGACTTTGCACTTAGAAAGCTGAATTTTGAACTGCTCTATACTGTCAAACTTCTCAACTACTGTTTACTAAAATTTCAGCCAGCAATACTTTGCCTAAGTTTTCTTGGGCTGTAACAAAAATATGATAATTTTATCTGTGAAAGAGACACTGTAAGAAATTAGACTTCTGCAGAAAGAACTGTGATTCTGCAAAAGTTTAGTGCCCAGCAAGTGAAAATGCCTTTAAATGTATTTTACATGTCTGCAAATAAAGTCACAGCTCCAATTTCTAGACATTCAGACTTTTCCCTAGAATCCTTTCAGATACAGCCATTAGGCAGAAACCTGAAGGCATAACTAATGGTTGGTTAATGTTTAAGTTGGTACATGGCCTTAGGGAGTCCTCCTGTGAGATCCCCACTACTTGCACAAATTTTGGATAGTAAACCAGCTAATTAGCTAGAAATTACATATGGCTACTATGTATTAGTACAATTTAGGTGAAATCCACGAAGCAACTGATTCTTGAAGCAACTGTGACCTCTCGAGTCCTTGTTGCATACTAATGCTGTGTAAAAATAAGCTGGCCTTTTTTTTTCATATAATTCTTCCCTTTTTGCCAGTTAGAAACAGCTTTAGCAAATGCTTGGGATGGTAGCAGAAACAATAAACTGAAGGCTTTAATATAAACTTGGCACTAAGTTCTCTGTTCGATTTGAGGTCAATCGAGGCTTCCACTCAGCAAGTAGCTGCTGTAAGTTAAGTACACTGAGAGAGCCTAAACAGCTGTGAGGGGCACAAATGATGCACAGCATTTATTATTACAATGCAGACAGACCACTAGGATGGTAGTTTGTTCCCACAGGAATCAACAATTGACAGTCGTTTTTGTGACAGTTAAAAACAACTTGACTATTAGGGTTTTGCCCCTTTGTGCCAAAGCTTTTTGATGGGAACTGTAAGGCTTGCCAAGTTGGAATGAGGACTTACTGTAGTGGGGGGAAAAAAAAGAGAAATAGTCATGTTTAATTTGAGGTTGTAAAAGATGACTGGATTATAGGGAAAGCTTTTAGATTTCAGAATAGTGTTGAGGACTGTAGGGGAAGAGCACTGGCCAGGCAGTACTGAAATAACAGGTCATTTTGGCAAAGGAAACTATTGTTAATTCCTTAAGAGGCTTAGGGTGACACTTAAAACTAAATTTAGGGTAATGGCAATGGTTCAGCTGTGGAAGTACTTCATCAACTCCTTCAATCCCAAACACTAATAGTAAATAGAACTCCTCCCCACCTCACCTGCCTTTACTCCAGCTGAAATTCCAGTTTAGAAGATGACAAATCAGAGACCATGCAAATCCAACAGGGAGGAATAAACATATATTTACCTTTGTTTCTTGACCTTAAAAATGAAACCTTACAGCACCTTTAGTTCCTCAGTCTCAGATCTAATGCTAATAAATTTTATCCTGTCTACAGCCCCCATTCAGCCTGCAATTTCACCAATATAAACTGCTCCTCTGTTCCCACTGTACCCAGCCATGGGATGTCCCAAGCCAATCTACATTTCTAGTTTTTATCGTGGTCTTGCAGGATCCATCAGTAGATCCAGTTTTTCAACCCTTCCTGTTGATCTCTCAACCTAACCCTAATCTGCATGAGGGCTTTTGAGGAAACCACAGGAAATCAAGTTGGCCACTTTCTGTCATCTTTAACCTTAATCTAACACACAATATTGAGTGGCATGAAATGGATTAAGGCAGATCCTGGAGAAGAAATGGACTGAATTATTTTTAAAGATACTCCTTGGCACATCAGAGTCTGTAAAACAAGTTTTTATTGTTCCACAAGGCTTACAGGTCTAAGATGAAGACTCAATATTTACAGGCATAAAGCAGTTCAGATTTGTCCAAAGATGGATGTTGCTGGTCTCTCTTTACACTCGGGCTTAGACAACAGCCAGGAACTGAACTGTCAGTCAGATGTCCTATTGGATCCTGCAGTTTCTAAGCTGAGACTGTGACTGGAATGAGCAGAAGCATATGGTTTTATGCAGACACAATATGCTGGGGTGGTTTTAGGGCTCCTGTCATGCTTGAGCTTTAGGATAAAACCCCAAAGTTGTTACATTCTGTCTCATCCATGCTGCTAAAATGAAGGTGTATGGTAAAGAGATAGATATTTGAAAGTATGAGACAGGGTATGGGTCACTTAACTGCAAGGTTGAGGAAAAAAAAAAGTACGGCACTGTTCCACAAAAGCAGCAGTGCTACAGTAAAGCCAGCAGAAATGGAGGACAGTGAGAATTTAATTCGCTTTGATTATGTCTAGAAAAGTGGTGGAATATCACACAAATTCAATGAGTATCAGTGAAAATTGGCTAAAGCACTCTTAAAAATAAATTGGGCAGCACATACACTTCAGTGTCAGCACCCCTGAATAAAGGAAACAAACAGCCATCTTTTGAAGCAGGATTTCTTTTGACTCATTGAAAGGCCTTCATCCTGTTCCCAGAACTTGACCTAAATAAAGTTACCACTCCTCTGTTTCTGGCCTTAAAAGCTTCTGAAATGGGTGTATTCAAGCAGGGACCGCCCATTAAATGGTTGGATTTAATGAGGTTGCATCCTCTTCCTCAGTCTTTTTAAGTCCCGAGTATTGCTACACCTAGCAGTTGCCAAATTTTCCCCTTCTGGCTGTAAACAGAATGCGTGCAGCAGACTCCAGATTTCTTTTAAAAGCTTTCTAACCTCCCTCAGCATTTCACATTTCTTTTCTCACCACGACTGCTGGCTGTCAGGGGGGAAGACATAAACACCATGAACTCTAAAGCGTTATTTGCAGCCAGTCCTTGTTTGTAGCTGCAAGTATGGCAATTTTCAATGATGTTTTTTACCGCGCTAAATTAAGCCTGGGCTCTCGGGAGTAATTGCTGTGGCTTCCTTTAATGCAGCAATAATCCTTGTTAAAGGCACCATACGTGACGCGTAGCCTTTGGCAAGCAGGGGAGGCAGCGCTTATCTGCGGAGAGGATTTTCCCTCCCCACTTCGGAGGCGATCGAGGGTCGGTGCTGTTTGAACTCCCAGCCGCTGCTTTAGGAGGGGAAGCTCCCTCGCCCGAAACAAGCGCACCGCGAACAGCCCCGACCCACGGAGCCAGCGCTGCAAGGGGCAGGAGCGGTGTCTGGGACACCGGCAGCGTCCGGGACAGCGTCTGGGGGACGGGGGTGTCCGGGTCAGGGGCGGTGTCCGAGGCAAGGGCGGTGTCAGGGGCAGGGGAGGTGTCCGGCCCCAGCCCCGGCGGAAGGGCGGGCCCGGGCGGCCTCCCAGCGGCGGCTCTGCTGCCGGCCGTGCTGCAGGAGAAGGAGCTCGTTAAAGCCCATTCTTTCTGCGGCAGTGAAATGCTGTTCCGCTTCGGCGTGGTGCTGCCCGCCCGGGTGACGGAGGGCGGCGCGGAGCTGCTGGTGGCCGGGTCGCGGCCGGAGCTGGGCGAGTGGGACCCGCGGCGCGCCGTGCCCATGAGGCGGGCGCGGCCGAGCGCCCCGCTGCCCGCCCAGGAGCCCGCGCTGTGGCTGGGGGGGGGGGGGCTGGCCGGGTCGCGGCCGGAGCTGGGCGAGTGGGACCCGCGGCGCGCCGTGCCCATGAGGCGGGCGCGGCCGAGCGCCCCGCTGCCCGCCCAGGAGCCCGCGCTGTGGCTGGCGGAGGTGGCGCTGCCGGACGAGGACGCCGCCAGCCCCTTCTGGTACAAGTTCCTGCGGCGGGAGGGCGGCCACTTCCTCTGGGAAGGTAACGGAGGGGTCCCCCTCGCCGTCCCTCGCACGCCCGGCCCTGCCCGGCCGCAAGGACGCGCCCGCCCGGCGGCCCTGCCGGGAGGGAGGGGCGGTGCGAGCCTCTCCCGAGGGCTGCCCGTGCTGCGGCACGGCGGTGGCCGGAGCTGTGCTTGCAGGTAGAGCACCCAGGCTGTTGCGGCGTGTTTGGTTCTCGCAAATAAAAATGTTGTTAACCGTGTGGTGGAGGCGGGTGAATGCAGAAGGAGGCTGCCATTCTAGGCTGGTAAAAGTTGAAATAGTTTCATTCCCCCCGCCCTTACTGTAGGCATCCATTTCATGATGTTTTGTTTTGGTTTTTTTCTTTCCCCACAAGTAAAGAATTTTGGATCTCCTAGTAAGCACTATGGTGTGGGTTGTTATTTTATTTCGCTAAGGTGAAATGGCATGATGGCATTTTCATTTAAATTTTGCTGTTGTGATTTCTTAAAGAAAAACACAGGGAGAAGTCCAGTTACAGCTTTTCCAGTCTTCTTGCTGTTTCAGTAGTACTTCCAGCATGTTTTCCTCCTGCTGTGTGTTTTCAAATGTTGAATAACTCTAGTCAGTTTCCATGTGCTGTTCTAGTATATTGAAGTATCTTAAATATAAGAGAACACTCAGACAATTGTCTGCTGAGTCAAATAAAACTCTAAATATACCTCCTGAGGAATGGTTTGACCTAGTGAAAGGAGGACAGATCACTTGGTAATTTGTGACGGTATTTTTTTAACTCATAGCATAATAATCCATGTACCAAAATAACACATTGTAGAGTAGTTGCTCTTCACCCATTTTAAGCATACATACCACATTTCTGAACTGCCTTTCTGTCATGTAGACTAAAACATGCATGTTGTCATAACTGTTGCATTTGTTTGTTCTTATTTATGCTAATAAAAGACTTTCTGTTAATGCTACATTCACAGAAGTTTACATCATGAAGGACTATGTACATCATACCATAGTAATTGTTTTGTTTAGCAGCTAAAACAAATAGTGTATTCTGCCTGTTTTAACCATGTTTTTCTTTTCCAGAATTGCAGGAAAAGTGAATTTTTGGAATAAAAATCTTTACATCTGTCCAAGGAAGCAGAATTGGGTCTCTTGGAAGGTGCCAAGTTGTACATAATATGACAATGATACTGGTATATAAAGCAGTCCCCACCATGCAATTATGGAAATAATAATAATAGAATTAGAAATAATTAGCATTTTATAGAAATAATGGAGAATAACTACAGAGGATCAGCAGTTGTAAGGTTGATGGTTATTCTTTGGTTTGGAAGTAGTGGTAGCTCAAATTATTGTCTGTTCCAGGGAGCATGTTTAGGAAATGTAGTCAGAATAATAAACATACTGTGTTTTGGCAGATTTGCAGTTTTAGGATTAACCTGGCTGGCATTTTGTTTTTGTCATTGTGAATGCTCAGTTTCAGCTTAGCAGGAATGATAGAAAGCAAGTGGGCATATCATCTAAATGCAGAAGAGTTTTTTAATTAGTCATTCATATAAACAATTTTTTCCTCAATTGATATTTAGAGGAAAGCACAAATTTGCTTAAACCTTGAAATTTATTGTTCTTCATGTATTACATTAAGGGAGCCTAAGGATGTTTTCTTATCCAAAACTGAGCAATCTTGCAGTTCTTTTTAATCTGTTTTGATGTTTTTTGGTTTTTTGTGACTGTTGATCAATGAAAGTTTGGCTGTCATCTGTTTATTCTTATAAAAATCAGAACTTGAAAAGACAACTCCCTTCTTAAAGAAAAGAACAGGTTTTTTTGTGCTAAACAAATGCCATGCATTGTCTCTTTAGTATCCTGTGTGTTTAGAATTAAAATAGGCTTTGGGAAACAGCACTTGCAGAACATATGCAGTTTTGAAGACACATTTGAGGGATAGAAGGAAGTGCAGAATGATACTTGCTCTAAGTTTATGAGTTGAGGCATCCATCTGTAACCAGAGAAACTAGTCCGTGGATGTCAGTCTAGTTATGGATGTCAGATGTTTGGATGTATTGGATGTTGAAATCATGTGCTGTATTTAAGAAAATTACTTCAGCTTTTTTCTTAAGACATGTATGCATGTGAGAATTCCACTGGCAGTGCATATTGGTTTTATGACAGTACGATACCTACTGTAGCATGTATTTTGAGTACAAAATGCAGCCATTCCAATACAGTGGGGAAGACTGGAAGATAAAAGTGGAGGTAGTTGTTTCTGTGGGCTAGAAGAGTCAAAGACAAGTGTTCTGTGGCTTTTGGTAGGAAGCTTTCAGGAAGGGCTTGGCCTGTGCAGGATTTGCTGGGTTGCTGTGTGTGCCCTTAAGGGAACAAGTTCCCTTCCCTAGCAGTCTGAAATGGGAGGTAAGACTCCCCTGTGCTCCGGAAGGATCAGATACTTACCTCTGCTGTCCCAGGGAGATGTTGCTGGTCTGCACCCGGGACCTGTCAGTTAAAGCCATTGAGTGTCTCTGGCTCAGGAACCATGAGCTGTGTGGGGTTTCTTCAGGGTTGGTACTTGCTTACCTACTGTGAAAGCTGAAGCCTGCTATCCAGGAGGGTTTGTGATATGCTGTGGAATCTGTGGAAGTAGGCTGGCTATGCTGAGCTTTACAATCTGGGAATAGGTTTAGGAAAAAACCCTAAATTCATGTATGTACCTTTTTTACCCCCAGCTGTGCCTGTGTCTGTGTACTTTGTTTTTGATGTTGATTCTTCAAAACTGGACTTAACATCTCTCAGCTTGGAAACAAAAAGTGTTTTGTGCATATTGTCAAAACTAAATAAATACAAGATGAAACTTATGCTTGAGTTTGTTTTTGTGAGTTTATGATGAAACATTCATCTGTACCTTTATCCCCTTACTTTAATCTAAATGAACTGTAGGTACTAAACAAGAAACATACTGCATAAAAGGACAGGGAATTTACTGGAGATATGCCCCAAACTGTATTTTGAGATGATGGAATACAGTCTGCTGACACTTCGTGTTTTTGGGAAGGGGAAAAATGAATTCTGTGAAAAACCTATGTAAGCTTGTAGTACATACACAAGCTTGTATTGTAGTATTGATCCTTTGTTGCCCAGAGAAGTTGTGGATGCCCCTTCCTTGAAGTGTTGAAGGCCAGGTTGGATGGGGCCCTGAGCAACCTGGTCTACTGAAACTTGTCTCTGCCTGGGGAAGAGGTGGGAAGCTTGGAACTGGATGCTCTTTAAGGCCACTTCCAGCCCAAACCATTCTGTTATTCTGTGATTTTCACGTACCTCTTAATTTGGTGTAGATGGAGCTTGCTTGAAGCTTACCAGATACAGTATGACCAGTGAAAGCTCCAAAGCAGGGTCAGCCTGTATTCTAGTAATTTGTTCAGGTGAGCAGAGCCTTAATCCTTCCAAAAAAACTCCATCTCTAGTTTTGGGGAGGGAGGAGGACAGAAAAGGAGGTGTCTTGTTTGCAAAACAACACAAATTATATAATACATTGCAATTTGGAAACAATTATTCAGCCTGTGGTATGTTGACCTTCCAACATTTCCAGTTCATGCTCCTGTGAGCCTGTTTGTAATAAACCAAAAGATCGGTAAATTTATGGAGTAATAAAGGTTTTCACATCATTGTAATGCAATCTGAAAATATCAGAAGTAAATTCTGATCATAGGTTTCAAGGGCTGAGCACCTGATTAGTTGAAAATATGGGTGAAAGTTAAGCACATTAAAATTTCACTTTTAAAGTGTGTTGAAACTTAAAGCAATCTGACTTTTGGCCTCAGCTCTTTGAATAAAATAGGTGTAATTTCTTAATTAAAAGGAGGGAGTTCTTCTAAGGCTGTATGAGAAGGTAAGATCTAGTTGCCATTTGTAGTGGAGAGATTGTAACAGAATGAAAAATGCTTGGGGCTAAGCCTTAGCATACACAAAATAAAAATTCTTTTGAGGCTGTTCTAGGAAGTACAGCTGGATACAATGTTAATTTCTGTAACTGAGATCCATGGGTTTTTTCCTTTTTTTTTTTTTTTTCCACCCAAAGCTAATCTGCAGACCCCCAAAATAGGTAGAAGTTCCATTATTAAAAACAAACAAACAAAACTAAGCCAAACAAAAACCCCCGGCGAACCCTGAGGAGTTACATTTGTTCATGGCTCTTTTAATGCAGATATTTCATGTAGTGCTCTTCCCACTGGGTGGTGCCACATTCCCTGTGTATAGCCAGCAGCTCTACAGACCCCCAAAATAGGTAGCAGTTCCATTATTAAAAACAAACAAAACTAAGCCAAACAAAAAACCCCAGCGAACCCTGAAGAGTTACATTTGTTCATGGCTCTTTTAATACAGATATTTCATGTGGTGCTCTTCCCACTGGGTGGTGCCACATTCCCTGTGTATAGCCAGCAGCTGCCTAGCATCCTGCAGCTGCTTGCACATTTCATTAGTATTTAGTGTAATCTGTTCTGTGTTTGAAAATAATCCAGAGTTTTACTTATTTTCCCAATCCCAGTTCTGAAATAGGTGGTGACTAAAAATGAACATAAAGCACAAGTTATGTGACAATTGAATAACTGTGCATCATAGGCATTTTATTCCTGCAAAGCTGTTGCTTTCTGGACAGTGCTAGATTCCTTAACACTTTTCAGATGTGACAGAACTTAACGAGTGGATAACTTTGAATTCTTCAACCCAATACTTCTTTAAGGAGTGGAGGAAAACTTTGGTTACAAAGTGCAGTAGCTCCTTCTATTTTGTTCTTCAAGCCCCTCAAGACTTAACACATAGCATACATTTTGGTGCAATTTAATGGCATCAAGATTCTAATTACTTTCTGTCTGCTTATCAGCATTAACCAGCTTATACTGAGCAGACAACCAGACATCAGTAAAACAATGTAGAGTGGCCTATGTGAAGCTGCAAAATTACAAGAATAAAAATAAATACATATACTTTCAAATACATATCATCTGGGTTTGGCAGGCATGGATCTGTTCC